CTCCCAAATTAAGATACTTGAGCTAATTGAGCAAGCTTTCTTCTAGTTGAAACTTCAATAAAGTTGAGACTTGAGAATTGGAGAATCAAACAATCAACCAATCAAAGTTACTCAGATTGCAGAGAATGTATGAGTATCAGAGAAAGAGACACACAAAAGAGATTGAGGCAATTGTTGAATTGGTGTGATGAGATTGGTGGAGAAAAGGGCTATTTATAGAAATTGAACATAATTCAATTGCCCAAAATACCCTAAAAACTAGTTGTTGGGAGGGGTATTTTGGTTATTGTAAAGTTATTTATAACTTTACCCAAAAAGCCCCCATACACTAGTTGTTATATAGCTGCTGGGGGGCATTTATGTCATTTTTCTCCTCTCCATAAGCAAAATACATAAATACCCCCTATATAGCTGTTTATAGCTATTAAGAGGGGTATTTATGTAAAACCCCCCGAATTGGGGGGGGAGGGGGGGAACGACTAGTTTTTGGACGGGCCGAGCATAGCTCGCTATGAGCCTTGCGGGCGGCACTGTTCTTGTCGTGTCGTGTCGGCCCATGGACTACGAACCCCCAACCCAGCACGACACAAACCATACTGTCGTGCCAGGCTAGGCCAGGTCGGTCCAATTTCATGTCGGGCCGCGGGTGGCCCAACCCAATTTACACCTCTACCCATGCATGGATGGATGGGGTTCAAATTCTCCCTTTCTTTCCAATCCATCATTACCTCGTGGTGGCAATACTTTAAATATAATTACCAAGCTATTCTCTTCATTCTACCGATGAAGTGAAGAGTAAGGAAATGGCTCAAAGATGGTGACCTTCGTTGATGTCAAAACTAAACATTGTTCTTAAGGTTATGTTTGGTTGCAATACGAATTTATTTCAAAATTTACCATATTTTATTTGATTATAGTATCTATATATATATATATATATATATATATATATTAAAACAAAGCAATCAAGAAATTTTCTCCTTTTTTGAATTTTTTATTTTGTTATTCCATGTCATTTTTTTAAATAATCAATGAGATGCACTCTCCGAATAACCTAAATAATCTTTTCTCCTAAAATTTCTCCTATTCTATCTCCCCCACTTTCTCCAAAATTATCTCTAATTTCTATTTATTTTCTAAATTATCTCTAACTCCTATTTATCTCCAAAATTATCTCTAATTTAGAAGAGAGTTTCTCTCCTAAATTATCTCTAATTTCTATTTATCCTCTCCCCAACTTTTTATTTATATCTATCTAAATAAAGTTTTAATTAAAAAATTTTAAAAATATTTAAATATTGTAACAAAATTATATAATAACTATAAAATATTTATTAAGAACACAAAAAATAATTTTATATTTTTACAAAATATATCACAAAATTATATTTTCAGAATTATCATTTTTAATGTTTTTCAAATATTAAATAATATTAATAGCTTTAAATAAATAAAATTCACATAACAAAAAATTTTAATATTTTATAGATTGCCTAAATATTTAAATAACTAAATATTTATCATAACTAGATTTTAAATAGTTAAAATAACAAAATTATGTAATAAATTTAAAAAATTTCTTCAAAGTATAAAAACAATTATAACATAGTATTCAAAATTATAATAATTGAAAATTTAATATATTACAAAATTAATAATGAAATTATGTAATAGTAGTATAAATTATGATTTTATGGATAACTAAATTCAATAAATAATTAATATTTTATATTAAATATTCTATATATTATTTAAGTATTTAAATAACTAAACATTTTAAATAACAAAATATCTAACATAACTATATTTTAAATAGTTAAAATAAAGAAATTATGGAATAATTTAAAAAAAAATGAAAAGTAGAAAAAATAATTATAACATAATATTGAAATTAATAATAACTTAGTATTTTTATATAATATTGTAAATAACTAATTTCACTTATATCAAGTAATAAGATGAGAATATAACTTTCAAAAAAATAATATTTATTAATAATAGTTTTAAACTCTTAATCTGCATTTATTATATAATTATATACTAAAATTAATATTTATTATATCTAAGTAATTTATTATTTTTTGTGATAAATGTATTTTCAATGACTTTGTATAAATTTATTTTGTTTTGTTATTTAACAGAAAACATTCAATAATTCTTGGAGATTAAGCTACTATTATTGAAATTTTAAATTTAATTTATTGTACTTATTGTATTTTTGTTATAACTTACTGATTAAAACTTATTAGAGATTAAACTATTATTTGAGATTATACTATTTATTGACTAAGTTAATATATTTTCAGTACTTATTGTATTTTTTATTATCAATATATTTTCAATAATTGTGTGTTTTCTCTATAATTATTAGAGATAAGGCTATTAATTTAGCTAAAATTATAAGTGTTCATGAGTTGGTTCGATTCAGTAGTAGGCTATTTGGCCAACCAAATTGACCTGGTCAAGTTGTGGAGTTGGTCAACTAAAACTGACTGACCTTTTATGAAAATCAAGCCACTCAAGTTGTATCAGTTTGGGTCAATTTCTTGGTTTATCTAGTCAGTTCAAAGGATTTAAACTTAAATATTAAATTTAATTTTAAAAATTATACCTCAATTATTAAAAAATAAATTTAAAAATTAGATTTATGATATAAAATATTTTAGACTAAGAAATATGAGAAATTTCCCACTTTTCCATATTAAACCATGGTTAGGTCATTCGATTTTAGTTAGTTTAGAAATGAAAAAAGCGAAATTGATCCAACTTGGTCGAATTGGGAAATTTTAGAACCAAAGCTGACCTAAAATCGTAGAAAACTAACCAACTCGAGTTGAGTTGATCGGGTTGTCGGTTTCATCAGTTTGATGAATAAACCTAACTAAAATTAATTACTGTTATTTTTGTATTATAAAAAATTTATTGAAAGTAATATATAAAATATGAATAATTGTTAATTATTTAAAACGTTGAAAATATTATAAACAATTGTATAATCTTATGTGTTTCTATTTGGGTCATTTATTAGAACACACCTTATAGTTTTACATATTTACTTAAACCTATCTTATAGTTTTCATTTTACTAAAACATACCATATATTTTACAGCTTATTTACTTAATCAACCTTTTATTAAGGAGTGTTTGTTTTGCCATTAAGCCCATGATTTTTTATTCCATAAATACCCTTAACACTTTTTTTGTATAAAAAACAAAATTGACCAAATATTGCCAAGAGAGTGGTTGTTTGTGTCTTATTAAGGGCAAAAATGATATTTTATTTTTATTTTCTTTTGATTAAATTTATTTAAATGAACATTAGGGTCAATATTGTCATTTTCCACCATCATCTAATGGAAAATTGATTAAATCTATTGCAAATTATAAGTGGTGTTTTAGTAAAATGCTAACTATAAGGTAGATTTTAGTAAATCCATGAAATTATGAGGGGTACTTTAATAAATGATCATTTCTATTGTTTAGTTTTTGCTTAATAAATCCTGTGCATAGCACAGGTCCCCGCTAGTAAATAAAGTAAAATAAGACCTAAAGCAGAATAAAATATAACCCAAAACAAAAATAAACCAAAATTTGTATTCTTTTCATTGCACTCTCATGCATTTATACTTGTGCAAATAAAATTGCATTGCAACCAAACACAACTTAAGTTACTGGTTTGTTTTCACGTGTTCCTTCTCCTTTGCCCCAATTCTTGTGTATGCATAGTTTCATATCCAAATATTCCATATAGACATGGTTTTTAAAAACGAACCGGTGATCAGACTAGTTAGGGGTCTGGTTATCGGTTCGAACGGTTGGCCCGTTCTGACAAAAAGAATAAAAAATTGGAAAACGGTCAAAATCGTTCAAACGGTTTGAATGATTAACCGGCCAGTTCAGCGGTTTGCTAACCAAAATCAACGGTTTTGGGGGAAAACAGAACCTGTCAAGTGTTTGGTTCCCGGTTTTTCTGATCTGATCGTCCAATCTTGTTTTGAAAACCATGCATATAGAATGATCTTTTACAGAAATATCTCCTTTATTGTAATCATTAATTTCACTCATATAACTTGTGTTTGGATTGTTAGATTGGAATTTATATATAAGTTCAACCATGTAGTAATTGAAATTAGGGTTGCCGGCTGTAGATCGGGTTGACCAAGAAACAAACAACAGAAAGTTGTATGAAATAACATTTCTTTTATGACATTCCTTTGTAAGGAAGTTGGGCTTTAAAACTTTTGTTTTGTTTATATAGGAGTCTTAATGTTTCGGTCAATAATAGGGTTCATTAAGAGTCACATAAGCAGCAATAAAAAAATGCCCAACTGTTGGAAGAAACATCAATCACGATGCTTCCTCCAACTGAGGAGATTCACACAAATTGAGAAAATAGTTTTATTAATAAACAATTTAACCAAATAATTGAACGGATTAGGCTGGGTTTATAGTCAACCCAAGCTTGACCCTAAAATTTGGACTTAAAGCCCAAGCTTGAGGTCAAGTCCAATCTTCCTAACTCGAGCCTAGCCTTCATTGTAATTTGATGCACTTGAGTTGTTTAATGAACCCACTCTAAAATCATATATGTGTATATGCATTTATACAAATATGTATACATATATATGTATATATCTAAATACATATGCAAATATATATGCAAAATTACATATATACATATATTTTTTTATATATATGTGTGTGAATATATGTAGTTAGGCCAAGTTTGACTACTTAAAAGCCGATCCTAACCCCAAAAATAAAATAACCTGACTTCTTAGGCTCAAATCCAATCCGAAGACTAAAAATCCAAGCTCAACTCATATAATGTGAAGTAAAGCAACTTGTTTATACTTTTAGGAGAGAGCCCGGTAGAGCAGTTTCGTAGTACGGAAGTAGAGTTCGCGTATGGGCAAGATTGGAAGTTTGGGAAGGAATATGGTCGAATGGATTTGTTTTGTTTTTAAGCTCTCTCGCAGACCTAGTCCTTGTTCCTTGCATTCGTCGATTAAGCGAGTCAACGAGTTTCTGAGATTGAGCCATGGTGGCGGTTCAACTATCCTTGTCTCGTTGTCAGTTTAGGTAGTTATTAGTTCTTACCGGTATGAAGTATGAACCATGAAGATCCTGAAATTTGAAATTTTCTTCTTAGCTGCTAGCATCATCATGCTCGTTCCCAGGAAGATAGCAACGCCGCTGCCGCCGTTGCACTCCAGAGAGGGCGGCCCCGCATGAAATTTGGGAGTTGAGACTCGAAACTTCTTCAAGCGTCCAAAGTCAAATAGATCCGATGGCCAGTATTGTCCTTTCACCGAATCGTGTGGTGAGATTACTACACGATTGAGAGTTAGGAGCTTACGGTATGACTAGGAACGATTGGGAGGACTACGAATCTACGATCCTAACAACGAATAAATGGTCAGTCATATTCGTCTCCGAGAAGAGTTCGCAAATCGAAAGCGCTGAGAATTGAGAAAACGAAACGTAAGAAGAGGAGGCTGTCAAATGACATAAATGCCCCTTACAAGGATACGTGTCCTCCTTGCAGTTGCAGGGCATTTCCAGGATAATTCACTCCGTGTAGAGTCTACTACATACGCGTCGCAGAGGATCCGGATTCCGGACTGGCTACGCAAAAAAGGTGGCTCGATGTAGTCATAAAGAAGCCCTCAGAGTCCCACCGTCGGTTCTGTTCTTCTTCCCTCCTCTCTTGATTCGATCGCTTCTGCTTCTGAGTGAATCTCACTGACATTTCATAGAATGAATTCCTCTGGGAGTGCTCACAATTTGTTATTTTTGATGCGGTAAAGATTTTTTTCCTTTTTCCTTTTTCCTTTTTGTCTTCCTTCTTGGTGATATTCTTTTTCATTTTTTTCCTTTCAATTGTTTCTTCTTGCTCGATTTCAATCTCAACCTCCATGCTACAGAAATGAGTTTCTTCAAAGGGTTTATTGATTCTCTGGGTGATATCTTCTCCGGCCCGGGTTCTGCTAATGAACCTCACTCAACTGCACCTGCAATCGCCCCTGCAACTTCCGACGATCAGAGAGAGAGCCCCATGGAAGGCGCCGCTTTACCTACCGCTTCGAATGAAAGGACCGCATGCAAGCTTAAAGGCTACTTTGATCTAGCCAAGGTTGAGATCGACAAAGCCGTTCGAGCCGAAGAGTGGGGTTTGAGCGATGAAGCTATCCTCCACTATAATAACGCTCAGCGTATATTGCTTGAAGCCAATGCCACCAGACCACATTTGTACATCTCCTCCAGGTTAGCAGCGATTCCAATTCTGCGTAGTGAACTTGATTTGTAGGTTTGGTTTTTTACTCTGTTACACTATTCATGTTCCAGTGAGCAAGAGAAGGTGAAGACTTATCACCAAAAAATATCCAAATGGCAGAAACAGGTTGCAGAGAGACTTCAAGTCTTAAATCGTCGAACAGGTTCAGTGTCATGCCCCACTATGATTATTTCTATTGCCATTTCGTTGTGCTATCGTTGTACTGTAACACGATATGGGACCAAGAGATGATTATATTTCATTTTGTTGTGCATTTTCCCTCTCTTCGGATTTTCGGTTTCAGCTGGGATGTCAACAAACAAGGTATGGATCAGTCTCAAGGAATCCAATTATAAATCTTTTAGCTCCTTTTCTCTTTAATTATAACAGTGCTATTATCATTTGCAAATCCTAGTCCTGAGCCAACCAATAAATTGCTTTTCATTCCGTTGCCCTCAAAGTTTTTTTTTTTTTTTAAATAGAAAATCAAATTCTTAATCATTTGGCGAGAGTGCAACTGAAGAAGTCACAACATTTGGCATCGTCTTTCATATAAATTTGAATTTTTCTGTGTCTATGTTCTTGCACTCCAAATCAAGAAAAATTCTGGAAGTTGTTAAAAGAAACCAAGTGAGCTCACAATTTTGTTAGGAGAAGTTTTTGATACATGTATATATCACCTACTCCTATCAAGTATTTGAATGATCATATACAATTAATCATGAGTTAGGTTGCAAGATAAGCCATTAACTCACGAGTCATGGATATTCTGAGGTTACATCCACCAACAAGAAATTTAAGATTTATGTAAATAATTAAGTTGTGTCATCATTATCTGAAGAGTGCGGCTTAAGAAAGTATTCATGATTTTCTTGATTGTCAAGGGTTTACTGACAAGAGGTAGAAGTTGAAGAGGGAATGCTGTTAAACCATTCAGGGGAAAAGAAGGGAAAAAGCATACTTTTTATTGATCTACAAAGGGAGAACAGCAGAAAAAAAAGAAATAGCACTAGAACCTGACGAGTGTGTTACATTCACAAACTTACAACTTTCTCCACACTCAACAAGCATAATGTACCAATAAACAATATCTAATGATGTCACTAATTGGGAGACAATATTTAGATACTTGGTAGATGAAGCTGAAGCATTATACTTCTTTTGAGGTAAGATGGGTTTGGTTGGGACCTTTTTGGTTTATTGGAGTTTGGCTTTTTTTAGATATTCTACATGGAACAAGAATGGGATTCATTTCAAAAGGCAAGCAGACAAACTTGCGGGAATGTGGTACAAAAGAAGGCAACTGATTTGTGGTTGAATGCAAGAGGAATAGAAAAGGTTTCTTCGTAGCTTTGGTTGAGCATTTCAATAGGGGAAGAAGGCAACTAGTAGGCTTCCTAGCAGGAAAACAGAGCCATGGATGGGGGGAAGTTAACAGATTACTCCATGAGTTTTTAGGTCAAGGATGTCAAATGAAAAAGCAATCTTCGTAAGGGAGGAGGTACATTAGAGCAACAACAGGGTAGAAAGGAGTATTCATAGTAACCCCCTTTGGTAAATGTAAAGCCCTCATAGACCTGGTAGAAAATGAAGTGGAAATATCAGCTCTCAATATTTGGTCTGAGATTGGATCCTTCACAGTATTCAAATGGAGTCCAACGTCTAACTCCAAGGACTTCTTTGTTGAAGATGGTGTTGTGGTGCATGTAATAGGCCTGCCATTCCATCAGTGGAAACAAGAAGTGGCAGAGTCTATAGCTTTATTGTGTAGAGGACGCTTAGAAGGAGCCTTCTGCGATGATCTTCATTTTGTGGCAGTTCTGCTAAGTGGTGTGAAGCCTGAAGATATCCCATGAAAGATAGAGCAAAGATCAAAGGGGAGTGTCATGTCCATTTGGGTGGCCTCCTCCATTGAAACAGGGTTGTGGAAGGAGGCTTGTATGGAGGGAGGTGAGGAGGAAGAAGAAGCCTTACGTGGATACTCGAGATTGGATAGTTCAAATGGGAAGGAAATTTACACTAAAAAGGGCCAGCCACTTCTGGGAAACCAAAAAGACGGGGCAATTGGAGGGTCAAAGGCGTAGAAAGTAAGGAAACCCCCTAGCACATGACAGATCTTATGTGTAGGTGGTCTCAGAGGAAAAGGACAAAGACCTTCAAACGGGTAAAGTTGGGGAGATGAACCGACGACCTTAGGCCGGACCAAAAGACAAGGTGTGTGGTTCGATAACTAAAATAGGGGGCATGACTTTTTAAAAAGTCACGTGTGCGAACAAACACATATGAGTGGGCTTACTCGATTGGAGCCCAATTCTAGTGGGTCGAGGACAGACTTAATTGCAACCCACTTAAAACCCATTGATCCTTTTAAAAGTTTCGAGCCCAAGGCCTAATCTAGGTTAATGGGCCAAGGGCATCCTTAAGTAATCATGTCACTGGTAGGGTGGACTTGTTGATGGACAGTAGTAATCATCTATCTTCTTCTCCCTTGAGTGCTCCCTGTTGGTCACACAACCTAGGTGGAAAATCTTAGTCCTAAAGCTCAAAGCTCTCTACAATGAATCCCTTCTAAGACAATGAAGCATCTCTCCTCTAACAGGCACAATTCAAGGTGCATCAAATGAACTGATATTAATAAGATAGAGGTCGAAGACTGGTTGAATGAAGAAGATAGTAGTGATGATTCCGACGATGATGAAACTGTAAGTTTGAGTAGTATGATCTTGAAAAGCAACAAGAATCTACTCGAAATGAAAAGCTTGCATACATAACTTCTGTTTGTAGATGAAGAGCTAGAAGACGAAGGTTGCTGGGAAGCTCGAAATGGCGAAGAAATTGCTTCTAAAGCTGCGCAAACTACACTCCCCTTCGCCGAGGGAGCTGACCCTGATTCCAAGCAGCCACAAGGTTTATGTGTAGAGGGACAAAACTCTGTTGAGGGTTGATGAGGGTAATCTAGATAAGAAAATACTGAGAAAGGAATTCCAAGTGGGTAGGTTAACCAAAAGTGTTTCTCCCACCATTCCCACTTTGCAACATTTTCCAGAAAGGGAAAAGGCCTCAAAACCAAATGAAACCTGCCAACAATTCAATTCCAGTGTTCCTTGTACTCTTCCTGTCTTACCAAGTATGAATGTCAATTCGTTTTTGGGTATTGGCTTGTATGCTGTGCTTGAAACAGATACACTAGCTTCCCACCTAGGAGGAGATGACGCAAGAGAAAGGGTGATAGTGGAAGGAAAAGATAAGGTGGTGGAAGGAAAATAGTAAGGGGACAAGTGAGGAGGCAGATAGAATTTGGAAACTGATTTGGAGGAAATTAACCAGAAGGAAGGGTTTGTGGAAAGCTATTGCGGCCAATTGAGAGCAAGTGTTGCAAAAACTTATCTCATATAAATAGGGAAGGAAGTAAAATAGTAGAATCGACACCACAAACTGAGAAGGGGGATCAAATGGTTGGAAAGGTTGGAGAGAAGGAAGAAGCTAAAACTTTTATTAGGAAGGGTGAGGGAAAAAGGGAAAAAAGAAGAAAGAAGATCTGAAGTGGAAAGGCTAATCTCGGACGTCGAGGGAGATTTAGAATTTAGTGGTAGAAGGGATAGGAAGAAGGGCCTAAAATAAGGAGACTGAGACTTCTTGTTGGGTGTGATGCTACAACATTGTTCCCATGAAAATTATTAGTTGGAATGTAAAAGGCCTAGGGAGTGCAAGAAAGAGGAGGGTAATCAAAGATCTACTTAGAAGCGGAAAACCTAAGATTTTGCTATTACAAGAACCCAAACTGATGGAACTAGATGGAAGATGGGTTTAGAAGTATTTGGAGGTCTAGAAGAATAGGTTGGACTTCAACACCCTCATGGGGAACTTTAGTGGGGATTGTCACACTGTGGAAGGGTGATGTAGTGGAAGATTTGATAGGTAGGTTCTCAATATCCATTAAGTTCAAGAATGTAGAGGATGGTCGTGTATGGGGTTTAACCAATGTCTATGTCCCTAACTCCTATAGAGAGATGAAATGTGGGAGGAGTTATATGCAATCCAAGGGGCTATGGGATGACCCCTGGTGCCTGGGTGGGGACTTTAATGTAATTAGATTCTCTAAAGAAACTAGTAATCCCCAACAGGCAATTACAATTAGCATGAGGAAGTTCAATGGATTCATTGAAGATTATGAGTTGAAGGAAGTCACACTTTTGCAAACGAGATTTACTTAGTCCAACCTTTAGGAAACCCCCATGTGTTCGAAATTGGATAGGTTTCTCTTTAACTTAGCTTGGGAGAGAAGTTTGGAAAACTTAGTTGCCAGAGATTTGCCTAGGGTCACTTCTGATCATTGCCCTATCAAGATAGGTATGAAGTCCTTCGCTATTGGACCTTAACCTTTTAGATTTGAAATATGTGGCTAACCCACTTGGATTTTGTGAATGAAGTGAAGGAATGATGGGGTGAGGAGATGAGGGGGGTAAGATGGAAGGGGGTTAGGTTTCATAAGAAACTAAAGAGGTTACGATCCAAAATAAAAAAAGTGAAAGGGATCATTTTGGAAGACCCAAGGAACAAAAATTGAGGATGATAAAGGACTTGGATTTGAAGGAATATCAAAATGTTTTGACTGAGGATGATAAAGGACTAAGGAGACAATTGAAGAAGGATTTGGAAGAGGTACTACTGAGGGAGGAAATCAATTAGAGACAAAAATCTAGGCACAAGTGGATTAAGGAAGGTGATGGGAATACTAGATTCTTTCATGACCTGGCCAATGGGAGGAGGAGAAAGAATTTTTTGACCAAGCTAGAAGTAGATGAGGAGGTGGTTACCAACTAGGATGACACAATTGGGAAGTTTGTTAACCATTTTAAATCGATTTATAGAAGGGGTTTGATTGAGAGAGTAGATGTGGGAGGGATGGAATGGCCAAGGTTGGATGATGAAAAGGCAAGATGCTTGGAAAGGAATTTTGAGGAAGAAGAGATCAAGAAGCTATCTTTCTAATGGATAGATCCAAAGCTCCAAGCCCAAATGGTTTAACAGTGGGCTTTTATCAAGATTGTTGGGAGGTGCTAAAAAATGATTTATTTGAAGTATTTAAGGAATTTGTAAACAACCACCTACACCTAATAGCCGTGGAGCCAATGCAACATTTTTTGCTCTAATCCCTAAGAAGATTGATGCCAACCACCCAAAAGATTTTAGGCCTATTAGTTTGGTGACAAGCATCTATAAAATCCTGGCTAAAAGTTTTCCCTTCTATCATTAGCCAAACCCAAGGGGCTTTCATTCAAGGACGACAAATAACAGATCAAGTTTTAATTGTGAATGAATGTGTGGAGGAGATGAAAAGGTCTAGGCCAAGAGGATTTGTTTGTAAATTGGATTTGGAAAAGGCCTATAACTCGGTGGATTGGTAGTTCTTATCAAAGGTGATGAGGAATTGTGGGTTTGGGGATAGATGGTATAGATGGATACTTGGGTGTATTAGTTCCTCTTACTACTCTATCTTGGTTAATGGTGTGGTGAGGGACTTTTTTCCAGCATGCAGGGGTGTCAGACAAGGGGATCCCCTCTCTCCTTTCTTCTTTATTTTAGTAGCTGATGTGCTTAGAATCATTACTAAGGCCGATAGAGAAGATTTTGTTAGGGGTTGGAGAGTAGGGAGGAACTAGATCCCAGTCACCCATCTTCAGTTTGCAGATGATTTGATGATTTTTTTTGTGAAGGGGCTGTGAGTGAAAAGGTAGCTAACTTAAAGGAGCTAATCAAAGGTTTTGAAAGAATTTCTATCTGAAAATAAATTTGGAAAATAATTGCATAGCGGGTATTAATTGGAGGTTAGGGAGGTCAAAGCTATTGCGGAGTGTCTTGAGTGTTCCATCTCTTCTTGTCCTATGTCCTACTTAGGGCTCTCATTAGGGGGCCTAGGGGCAAATCCTAGGGAGAGTAGATTTTGGACTCGAGTGCTAGAAAAGTTGGAGAAGAGATTAGCTTTGTGGAAGAAGAATTACATCTCTTTGAAAGGCAGGATCACCTTGATAAGAGCTACATTGGCGAACTTACCCACATACTTTCTGTGTCTGTCTTTAAGATACCACTTAGGGAAGCTAGGAGGTTGGAGAAGCTAATGAGAGATTTCCTGTGGGAACCAAGACAAGGAAAACAGGATCATTTGGTTAAGTGAGAAATTGTGTGTAGAAGTAAAGATGAGGGTCCTTCGGACTTCGGGTAAAGGAGGGGTCCAAAGAAATAAGAATAGCAACATTATTTCCTTATTTTCAGGACCAGTGGGAGTGGGTGACTCCACAAGAGTAGAGATACTAGCTGCTGTATAAGGGATTCAGATTGCAAACCAGCTTGGGGTGGAGCATTTATTAATCGAAGGTGACTCACAGGTGGTGGTGGGATGGCTCCTAAACCCGGATTCTGCCATTTGGAGTTATAGAGACCTCTTTAAAAAAGTGAATTGGCTGACTAGCAACATGACAGTTAGTGTTCAGTGGGTGAGCAAATTGGCAAATGCTATAGCTGATTCATTAGCCGAACAAGGGGTTTCTTGGGACTGTTTGTTTTGGACTACCTTGTAACTTATTCAAAACGGTTTTTAAGAATTTTCTTTAGGCTTTTCTGAAGAAGATCGTACCCCGTGCCTCTGCTCGGGTCACTTGTAACTCCTATTTTCTGTGATTAATAAATATCTTCATTCATCAAAAAAATAAGTAAAGATGGGGGTTTGGGGATATGGAGGGTGATTGAAAAAAATCGAGCTTTGTTGGGGAAATGGCTGTGGCGGTGGCTGTTGGAGAGCGGGAACCTTTGCATGAAGTGGTGGGAAGCATTCATGGTTGTTCAGAGAATGGGTGGTACACTAGTGTATCAAGGCGGGCTAATTTGGCAGCACCTTGGAAGGCTATTCACAACACTCTTCCTCAATATCTCAGGTTTGTCAGGTACAGAATTTGTTCTGGTAATGCTGTCTGATTTTGGGAGGACATTTGGGTGGGAAATACCCCCTTACAGGACCTTTTCCCTTTGTTATTTTTTTCTGTTTCATTGTATAAAAAGAGGCAGTCTCAAAATTTTTCTCACCTTCGGGAACACCCTTTTCTCCTAATTGGGATTTCAGGTTTAGTAGGGGATTAAGGGATGATGAAATTGACTCCGTCTTTAATTTTCTTTTCTCCTTAAGTCAGGTTTGATTGAACCCTTCCAAGCCAAACAAAAGGGTGTGGGCCCATAGGCCCAAAGGGACTTTTACTCGTGTTTCTTACTTTAAGTCCATTTCTCAGTCTTCTATTCAACAAGTGTTTTCTTCAAAGGAAATTTGGTGCAGGCCGGTTCCCCCAAAGATTATGGCTTTGTGTTGGGAAATGTATTACGGGAAAGTTAAACACTTTAGATAACTTACAAAAGAGAAGACCATTCCTTTGTATTTCTCCCAACTGTTGTACCCTTTGTAGAGATCATGGGGAGGATTGTTACCATCTACTAATATCTTGTCCATTCTCTACAGAGTTATGGGCTTGGCTACTCTCATTGTTTGGGTGTAGCTGCTGTGGAGATGTGCTCGAGCAGCCTTGATTTGGAATTTATGGGAAGAAAGGCATGCTAGAATCTTTTAAGAGAAGGAAAGGAGCAGCCAGGAATTGAAGGCTGTGTGTTGAATAGGGCAATACTTTGGTTGAAGACATAGGAAATGTTTCATCAATTCTCCTTTAATGACTTTTGGAGAAACTGGTCAGCAGTAGCGAGGTGTTCTTCCATTAAGAATAAAGTAGTTACAAGGTGGTTTCCCCCATTTGAAGGCTCATCGAAGCTGAATTTTGATGTCTTGGGCAATCCAAGGTTATCTGGAATGGGGGGTGTTCTGAGGAATGAGTTTGGAGAGGTTGTTCTGCTCTACTCGGGTCCTCTAGGATTTGGTGATTCTGTTAGGGTAGAACTATTAGCTTCTGTGCAAGAGATGCAATTTGCAAACCAATTGGGGGTAGAGCAACTAATTATTGAAGGGGATACCAAGGTGGTGGTGGGATGGTTGAAAAACCCTGAGGATACTGTATGGTGCTACAAGAATGAAATTAAGAAATTTAATTGGCTGACAAGGAATATGTTGGTTTCTATACACTGGGTGGGGAGATCAGCAAATTCTTTGGCTGATGTGTTCGCCAAGCAAGGGGTAATTAGGGAAGAACTGTTTTGGGCTCAGCTGTGATTTATGTAATCTATTCCTAGTTTCCTTGTAAGCTATTGGGAGAGGCTGCAGCTTGCGCCTCTCCAAGGAATGTTGTATGAGATTACAAATCTAAATCAGCTACTGAATTAATAAAATTTCACTATTACTCATAAAAAAAGAGAGGGATAGCTTATTTGCATTGCATGATATGCAAGAACCTATGTCAAACAGGATACAGGATTAACTTCGCTTTGTGAGCACTCATTTAAGCAAGAAATGTCAAAACCAAAGTTTCTTTTTATCCATGATATTCCATGTCTTTCAAGAGATAAGTGAAATCAGTGCTTGTTCACAATGAGATTTATTTTATACATCTTTGATTACTGTTAACTTGTTATTCCGTTCCCTGATTGTGTCCAATGTTAAATTCTTCACAGAATACTTTAACCCCTTCTCAAGCTCCGGCGATCACTTGTGCTCGGAAAGATATAGTATGGAAACCTCCCTCTTTTAATAGAATAGTGTAACAGTGACGAGGATAGAGGATATGGGATTACTATTAGTGTTGACTTGTTAGATTTGATTATTCTGTTCCCTAATTTGTTTACTGTTATATTCTTCACAGAATACTTTAACCTCTTCTCAAGCTCCAGCAGTTTCATCAGAAATCTCTTGTGCTCGGAAAGATATAATACGGAAACCTTCCTCTTTTAATAGAAACAGTGCAACAGCTAAGAGATTGACAAATAATGCTGGAAGCTCAAAAGCTGTTCAAGAACCTGGTAATGGGTATGATGCAAAACTGGTTGAAATGATAAATACAGTGATTATTGACAGAAGTCCTTCTGTTAAATGGGAAGATGTTGGTAAGAAAAATATAAGTTTTCATCATCTATTTATAGCTATAGATATCAAACTTACAAATTTATAAATTCAATTTCTTGTACAGCTGGCCTTGAGAAGGCAAAGCAAGCATTATTGGAAATGGTCATCTTACCAACTAAGAGAAGAGACCTCTTCACTGGGCTTCGAAGGCCAGCTAGAGGTAATTGTTCAGTGTCACTTTTAGATGCTCCCCCTCTCCATTTGAGCAAAAAAATATATATAAATAAAAAGAAATCAATAACAAATCTAAATGTATGAAAGACAAAAGGAAGATAGAAACTGAAGTGCTAGGTTCGCAAATGCAAAAAGAGGAGAAAAGCCATTTGCAGAGTTACGGTTTATCATTGCCCTGGTGACATTTCTCTGGGAAGAGCATCAACCAAGACTTTGGATGATTCGTCTCCAAAATTACTATATTGTAGGTTTATAGCACCTAAGTGTTCTTAGTTTTTTAGAAGCATTTTTGGTTTGCTTTTCAGGTCTGCTTCTTTTTGGCCCACCTGGCAATGGGAAAACGATGCTTGCCAAAGCTGTTGCATCAGAATCACAGGCAACATTTTTTAATGTTACTGCTTCTTCTCTTACATCGAAGTGGGTAAGTTCCTGTCTAGATTCTACCTTGCCTCCGTCACCAATAATTTATACAGTTGGAGCAGTGCTTATATTTTTCTTTCTTCAAATTGGAAAAGAAACCTAATAAGTTTTGCTTGTACTTGAAAAGGTAGGAGAGGCTGAAAAACTGGTCCGTACTCTTTTCATGGTTGCAATTTCCAGGCAGCCATCTGTAATTTTCATTGATGAAGTAAGTTGTATACTCTAGATTCTTTTTTCAGGACCAATTTTTCCAGAGTTTCTAACTGTTATTGTTCTCATCTGTTGGTTATTTTGAAAGTGGTTTTCTAATTAGCAAGCAAAAGGATTATTACCTGTTATTTGAACAATCTTGAATATCTATTGGTATTTATTTGTATTCTTGGATGTCTGTTATTATATTTGTCCTCTCTTGATTAAGTGGTCAACATGTGTTCATTATTTTACTTCTGTATTTAGTTGCCAGTGGCAGTCCTTAATAGATAAAATAGGTTCCCATTCACTTAATTCAGCTAAGCCTTGCCCCAACTGCTTGGGATCAGCTACAGGGATCCTGCTTCACTATTCCCCCCTGTCCAGGTCATATTTTCATAGATCCTCAACTAGGCCAGCCAAATCTGCCTAAGCTTGAATTTTATAAATCTATTTTCCCAATCTGGCAACTCTTCTCTTTCCTCTTCTTTGTGTGGTACCAGTTATATCACTCTCAGCTTTATGCTTATTTTGTTCTTAACTTATGGTCTTTCTTGGTTGATTTTATTTCTGATACTGTTGTGTTATCTTTCTTGCTTCTACTTAAACAAAGGCATCAAGTCTTATGCTGTTTCCAATGATGAATTGCATGCTTATGATATGAATATATTCTTTTGGAAATAATAAGATGATTTCTTGTGTTTGTATATGGTCTTTATTCAGCATTTGCTGGCAAGAGTTTTCATTTTCTATTGTTGTACAGATTGATAGTATTTTGTCCACAAGGTTGGCTAATGAGAATGATGCAAGCAGAAGGTTGAAGTCAGAGTTCCTAATCCAATTTGATGGTGTGTCATCTAATCCAGATGACTTGGTAATTGTTATTGGTAAGATACACTTCTCATCCTTTGCCTTCTGCGTGTTAACTTTAAGCATTTCTTGTACCGATATTAAAAGGAATAGTTGATCTTTTATTACTTGAAGGATAAGTCTTTTACAATGCTTTGAGAACTCACAAGACTCACAATGAAGACTCGATAGACTAATTCCTTTAAATAACTCTAGAAACAACTGACTCAATGAATAAAAGGACAAATGACCTAAACGACTATGACATAACATAATACGACTAGTGGACTCTGAAACAAATGCAGTTTTTTTAAGTTGTACTTGGCTCTACTCAGGCATGTCTAACAGTTAGATCCCATTCGCCTCATGGCCACTCCTAATCACCTTCTGAGATTCCATGTCCTGAAAAACACAATATGAAGGAAAAAAAGTCACATTGCAATTCAGGGATTTAGTCAAATTACTAACTGAAAGCAAGTTGGTATTAAGTTTAGGTACATGAAGAACAAATGATAAGGTCAGGGCATTAAAGGTCTTAATGTTTCCCTTTCCCATGATAATGGCTAGGGAGCCATTAGCAGTGCTTACTAACTGAACCTATCTTTTGTTCTCCTCATTACTCACCATAGCATATGCCTGAGATAAAGTCACCTCATCCTTTGCTAAAACATTCTGCCTCACAATACCATACTCCGAGTTGAGTCCAGTGAGGAACTCAAAGACCCGATTTCTCTGCACCAACCTCCTATATGTTTTTGCATCCTTTGTACAACCCCAAACAACAGTCTCCATTAGATCAATCTCTTGCCAAAGAGATTTCAGTATAGAGAAGTAGACTGCTAAGGGCTTCTCCCTCTGTCTAAGATTATTCACATCATGCTTCAATTTGTAGGCTCGAGCAACATTAAGCTTTTGGGAATAGGTCTCTGTGACATTGTCCCACACTTCTTTGCAGTTTCCATCCACAAGTAATGCTGACTAATGTGTGGTTGCATATAATTCACTAAACAACCCACTACTATGTAGTTTTCCTGCTTCCACCTTTCATAGGTAGGATCATCCTCCTCGGGTTTCTTCTTGCTTCCGATGATATAACCCCATTTTCCTCTACTACACACATGTATCTTATTAGATTGAGACCAAGCTAAATAATTGGTCCTGTCTAGCTTCACAGTAGTAACAACCCCAAAAAGATTCTCCACTGGCCTCCCATGTCCAAACCCGGAATATGTGAAATATTTGGTTTCTCCTCCAGTTTGCTCCATTGAGTAAATGGATGCAAACGAAAATCAAATTAGGGCTTTACTAGGCTAGATTTATTGTTCTAAGGAAAGAACAACCTTTCAACCCCCAAAATTATGGTTTCACAGGGTCCTATGGGATGGAGAGAAAGAGAGAAACTTCAACCGCCCCTTCCAGAGGTTCTAGAATTCAATCCAACCAAAACCGTCCCTAATAGAAATCAAAAGGCTTAGCTCCGATCCCCAAGTGCCTGGTTCAAACTGTCTCTACGACCTGTAACAAGGTTTCTCCAGTTATCTAGGGTTTTTGGGAAAAATCTCCAATAACCTGGCTTGAGCTTCAACTAAGGATGAAAAACCTCCACAAAACTCTCCAAAAACCTTCCTAACTAGGTTGCATAAGTAGCTGATTAATCAACCGATCAGTTGCCCATACACACTATGTATGGGCAAAGAAAAGAGAAAAAGTCTAAAGTGAGAACACGCTTTGATACCAAGTTGAAAATTGCACCTGCAGTAGTTCAGATAATGCAATAAAAGAAGAAAAGAGAGAGAGAAAGAAGAAAGAACTTTCAGCAATAGGTTGTGGAAGAAGAAAAGAAGGGAAGAGAAAAGAAGAATTCGGACCTTTCTCTCTAGCCCCCTTTCATCACTTTTATTAATAATTCTAAGTCTGAGAACAATTACTTAGATTCCCTTAATGGGGTGACCAGCACTAAAGAAATAATTAAAGAAAATAAAAGAAGGCCCATAAGGCGCATAACTAAGAAACATAACTTTTAAATAGTATTTAAAAGAAATAAAGAACACTAAGGCCCATACGGCCCATTTTCACTGCACTAATGTCCTAAGTTTTTTATTTTTCTCATTTCTTCTCTTAAAGGATATTTTTTCTTTTTAATAATAATAATAATAATAATAACAATAACAATAATAATAATAATAATAATAATAATAATAATAATAATAATAATAATAATAATAATAATAATAACGATGATGATGATGATGATGATGATGATGATGATGATTATTGTTGTCGTCGTCGTTGTTGTTGTTATTATTTGCATAGATCAAATCAACTAAATTGTTTCCTTTCTTTTTAACTATTGGATAGCCATAAATCTAATATCAATTATGTGGATGATTCTTCGTATGTGTGAGCTTAGGAGCTGTATTCGAAGTAGTAGAGAAGAGAAGAAGACCTCTGAAATACTGTGAATGTCGAACTGAATAGCTCAATCGACAATACT